CTGAATTTACAGTATCTAATTTATAGTAAGAACCACATATAAACCATATAAATATCTTTGTAGATGATAGTTTTAGTTGGAACAGCAATGAATGGAGCTAATTTATATGGATATATAAAATGTAAATATGGTGCTAATAAAAAATTATCAACAGTAGCCACAGGTTTCTTAGGAAAACAATTATGGACTTCTGTAAGTATTTATAAATGCTTAATTTTGACCCTGCAATTTTGCAAAAAAGGGACTGACATTAGAAGATTCAAATGCAAAAAATTAATTTACCATCTTGTTTTTCTGAAATTGGAACTTAATTATCCTTTCAAGAGGTTGATCCAGCCAATTTAATCTAAAATAAATAAAAAGTTTTGGGTATACATCAGTGAGAAAGCAACCCAACAAAACCAAAAAAAAAACCCTATAGATGTCAACATTGATTTTTAGTTTTCAACAATAGACAACACCAATAAGTTAATTTCAACATTCCCATTTTACTATCAAATTACATACAGGGGACATATCTTGCTATGTCAGCAGTTTACTTATCTGGATCAGTGCGGATAAGGTACAGAGTCTGAGAACAAACATACATTTCAAATCAGTTCAGTAAAAGCACTCTCAATATTATCACTTTTACAGACGGCAAAAACATTGAGTAAAACAATAGTAAATACACATTTATCATAGATAACCCCAGGTTAATTGAAAGCTAGTTCAAGTCTGTTGATCTGCTGATACAGAAATCATGCCTCTTTCACTATTACATCAGCTACTGTACTACTACATGTAAGTAGATTTCATATAGCAAAGTCATATATTAAATGCAGAAAAAAAGACAACTTTGTCTGATAGTTCTCTGTTGATCGTGTTGTATTCAGGAACAATTACTGCTTCCTGGTCAGAATATTTTGGGTTGGAATATCTACTCAGTAATATCTGTAGAAAATACAGCTTACCATGAGTGCATGATATGGCCATCAATTAATGAGTGAGAGTGAACATTGTATGTAGATTAAACATAAACAAAACAATTGTAAAAAACTTTCATAATGATTCAGGGAAGCATACTTCATTCATTGTGAGATACATTTGTATTTAAAAAGCTATTTTTTAAAGATTAAAGTCTAATAGCTCTGGAATGTCTATTTTGAAAATTATCAAAAGGGGGCTTTATGTTATTTTTTGTGACATTGTCTATAATTTTTTGTGATTCAATGAAAGCAAATTAAACTTGAGTTACTATGAGACATATGACAAATTGACAAATTGTGATGATAAGCCATTTAAAGTGTATTGTGTGCAGAGGTGTTAAGAATAAGTCCATAATATTTTAATTTTGAATAAGGATCTATGATAATTTTACTTTAAAGGTCTGTAGTATTTTTATTAAACAATAATGAATATAGGCCACTTTTTTTGGCACATTGTATAAGCTTAAAATATCTACCAAATAACATCCTTTAGATGTTCATGCGACATTAGTCTGTCGGACATCAGTATTTATATTTTTGCATTTTTTCTTACATATTGGCATCAGAGCTTCAAACTTCTTGCATTTAGTGCAAAACATCAAAATCTGTCAAAATAGTCTCATTTTGATAACTTGTCATTACTATTTAGATATGAGCAACAGCTTTACCCAAAAAGATATTTTGCCAAAAAATTAGTTTTTCCAAAGATGTTAACGTATGTAAAATATCTTTTTTAGGGTAAAGCTGTTGCTCTTTATATTTTGACATATAAAAGCTCTGCGTAAAATGGCAATTCAAGGTCAAATGTGTAAATTTCAACGTTTATGACATCATATTTACATCACTGGTTACCAGATTGAATTAACCTGTTCATTTATCTGTAAAATTAACATGATTTTGAGTGGCTTGAATAAGTTTACTATTTTTGTTATTTCAGGGGCAAAATAATGGCTCTTATCATACCTCCTTCTATTCTGTCAAAACTTTGACCTTTGAGGTAGAGATATTTAAAAATCAATTAAGAAAAAAAAAATGAACCCCTATTGTGAAGGGGAAGATGAATTTTGAAGTATTCGATATACATATATATACCTCATTTTCATTGGTTTTGTTGTATATACAAAATAATATTATTTCTATTTTCAGATGTTATCAATGGGTAAATCAGAGACACCAGATCAAACACAACAGTAAAGTGACAGATCTGTGGGACGTTTTAATAATGACTTTATCTATACATATACTTCTTTTTGTTGGGAATCTTCACATAATGTTTTATTATTTATTTCTCATATAATTATCATGAATAAATAAACATATAAACTATGTTTAACCTCAAACATTGCCTTTTAATGTACGAATGTTCAGTAAAGGCCAAAAGAAATTAATTCCTCTAGATTTTCATTAACTCAAGCTCTTTATTTACCTCTTGGTCATATTTTTCAATCTCCTGCTTGCAAGATTTAAAGGATATTATATATACAAGTAAAAGGAGATTTGGGGTAAACATAAAACATGAGACCTTAAAAAATAAACAAGTGTCAAAACCATATGTAAAGCTTCAATATCACCTTCAAGTTTTTTAAAGTAATGAATGAATTAACAGTCACCAAAGAGCTGCCACCATTTAGCAGGGTCAAACTAGTTTTTGAGTACTCAACCTTTTCCTTATCTAACAACAATAGTTACAGAAAAAAATGCACAATAATAATCTATAAAAAAGCTCTTAATGGTTTCCACTGTGTATCATCACCACCAGATATAGGTACCCTTGGCCTGGTTCTCTGTTCATTGTCTTAGAAAAACTACATTACTGTACATATACCAACATATAGGTACCTAGGTAGCTATACGCTGGTATTTGTACAGTAATGTTGTTTTTCTTAGACAATGAACAGAGAACCAGGCCAAGAGTACCTATATCCTGGGTGATGATGCACAGTGGTGTCGGTATTACAGATGACAAGTAAAACAATAATAATATCATATCAAAGAATGCTCCCAGTTTATCAAAGCACTCAATGAGCTGATGTAGAAATCATAACTTCACACACTCCTTATATTAGCTGCTTCCCTTCATTGTTTGTTTGTTTGTTGATGTTTACAGCCACTTTCAGCGTCCTGTATCATGGTGTGCAGGAAGCCAGAATAATTCGAAGTAGTAAAACCTCAAAGTAAAAAATGCTAAGGGATGCCCCATCTATTTAAGCCTTAAAATCTAAGTAAGCAGTCACAGTATTCCTGAATGTATATAGAATTTTAATTAAAATATCCTGACAGTTGTATTTATACAAAGAAACCCTATGGTCGGTCTTTTATTTGATTAATATCAAGACCCCTAGGTGTGTTATAAGAAAGAAAAACCATTATCTACAACATAATCCTCAACTTTGACTGTTTAGCTAAAATGAAAAGTTGAAAGATTATTTGTTTGCTTCATAAAATGACCATAAAAAGGTGGATGTGAAATACCATTTATTATTAAATTCCTGTTACACCATACTTCTACTTCTAGTTCCTCTATTGGTGATTAATTCAGAAATAATTTCCTATAGGAATATTCAGTGGATTTTTAGGTTTTCTGGACTTTTCCCCAGGAAATTTAAACTTGATATTTGGCATGTAAGTACATTGTGGTGAGTTACAGTTTAATTTTACTGTAAGTTTGGGTTTGAGTTTATAGTCATTGAATTTAAAGGTATGTGACTGTTTTTCGTAAACTAACCTGTTTTTGGTGGGGTTCGTGTTGCTCAGTCTTTAGTTTTATATGTTGTCTTTTGTATACTGTTGTTTGTTTTTTAGTCCTTTTCTTTTTTTGTCATGGCATTGTCAGTTTTTTTTAGACATGAGTTTCAATGTCCCTTTGATATCTTTCGCCTCTCTTCTGATTTAGATCTGAGTTGTATTTGGTATGAACAGACATTATATAATATTAAATTTTAAGTTAGCATTTTGTTCTTAAACGGGGATATTTTCTCAGAGGTATAGCCCTTATACTTACAAAAATTATTGAATTGTAACATGTTCCAGATATTAATTCACAAAAAACTCTTCAGTTTTCTTATTTTTACCAGGAAGATGCTTTTAAGTTTGTGTCGTGTTCCTGTTTGATTTATTTTACAAAGTTACAGCCCTTGAAATACAAAAAAATGGTTAAGGTAGCCTATACTTCTCATCAGGCAGACATGTTAAAAATATTGGTTATAAGTGCTGGTACCACAATTAGCAGAATTATCCAAATATTTAGTTATAACTTTGGTGAGAAATACGGCAGTAAACAAGGTATCTTAAAAGAAGAAGTTTATCTTTCGTCTGTTTTTTTCATGCTCCTCTGCTTTTGCTTTCAGTTCACCTCAAAGTTCATACATTTGGTTCTTCATATAACTGATCAACTTAATTTGCATGTGGTTTGCTTTAGACCCACACAATATTAGGTAAATTTAACTTATTTTAAATGCTTATGAAATATCTAAAGTAGATGTAGTATGAAGACCAATGAGACAACTATCCAATAGAGTCCAATGATGTGAATTTAAGCAACTCTAGTTCACTGTAGGGACTTCAGCAATGTGCAAAGCCCATACAATATAGTCAGCTATAAGAGTATTCAGTAAAGGAATTATTTAATTTTGGTTTCAAGTTCACATCAAAGTATTTGTCCATCTAACCTTGTATGCAAGTGTAAATAAAGGTCAACATAAAGGCAAATTGGCTATTCTGATAAAAAAAAAATCATGTTAATTAAGATAAGTTAAAGTTGGCCTTGGTATTCACCGGTACATTTAAAGATATCTTTTGGTTATTGTGTTGTTGGGTTTCTATCTCATTGACATATAACCCACATATGCATTATAATAATATTTTTCTGGTACATGATTGTGTATATCATGGATGGGGTTGAAAAGTTTATTTAGGTTAATAGTTCATGTGCTGGATGATTTCTAATCTTGTAACAGTGTTTGGAGGTGCATACATTACATTAATGGAATTACATGATCACTAATAATTTAAATCATTGGTCTTAGTGGCATTCAGACATAAAACAACCTATTTCTTTGACTTGTGGATCAATTTACTTCTCAAATTAGCAATTCACACTAAGTTTCTCAAAATCTATTGCTTAAACATAATGCTTTCATTTTGTTTCTACCATTTTCTTTTCTCTAAAAGATGTCCAAGGATGTTCAGGTACATCCAAATCCATTCTATGAAGCCATGATTGGTAGAACTTTTTAAAATCTTCATAATTAGCATCAAATCTCTTATATTCCTCAGTATTATATTCTTTGGCCTTTTCCTGAAATAGAAATAAATAAATCTGTCAGAAAAGTTTTAAAAACATACCATTTCCCTTTATGAAATATAGAATGCCTATATCTTTGTCTGGATGTGTTTTATATCAAACTCTTAGTTGAGACAATTTTATTTCAAGTTAGGGTAGGGTTAGATGGGGGCATGAAATCTTGATGGAAAATAAATAATTAAAGATAACAAGAAGAAGAAGCAAAAACTGAACCACAGAACCAAGAATAATCAATGGTCATTATTTAATGGTGGCTACTAATTTGACCATTTTTCAGACAAGAAACAGGCATTACTCAGAACTAAAATGGTAAAATATATAAACTTTGAAAAAGATCTAACAACATCTCTAAATAATTACTCATTTTAAATGATTTTGTTCGGGCTGAAAACAAACACAAATAATGGACTATCAGACATGTAAGGGTACATTGAAAGCCTCTTTTAGCTTACAGGGGAGATATTAAACATTGGTAATCTATGATTATGAAGTTTGAATCCTCCCCTTTTGGCTTTAAGAACCAGATTACAATAGTAACCAAAACTGTTGTGGAGGGAAATTCAACTTCAGAGGAAAAGGACAAAAATCTAGGTCAATTAGTATCTGTAGATTCTTGCTTACACCAAGTTATATGCTTGTAGGCAACATAGTATCTGAGGTCAGAATTTGAACTAAAAACTTAATACAAGTTAGTGAAGTGTAAATTTTAAATCAGAGTTACCTCGCTTATATACCTTTAGTCACATAAAGCTGCTATCTTCCTCTATATCCTTATTTCAAGTTATAGGATTGATAACTTAAAACAAGTCAATAAGTGAAAAATGAAAGACAAAGTGACCTTCTTTTTGTGGGAGGCCATTATAGGCTTGGTCACATGAGATTTTAACTGGTTTGTTAATATGTTCATATCAGAGGTTTAAGACTTAATCAAAGCCTCTGAACCATGAAACAAGGGTCGTGCCGCTTTCATCTTATGGCCCACTGTTGGTTATTTTGCTGTTTGATAGCTGTTTCATAAATGCATTTATTTAACATTTTATCCATGTGAATACCTCATTTGAACAGGAGTTTTCCATACCTAGAATATTACATAGAATTTAAACTACTCATAGCACAATTACTTACAAAGAATTAGCCTCATATTTAATAGGTAGGCCAATAATGTTTCAGACCAAAGATTGTTAAGTCAGAAGTTTGTCAACTGGAACTAAGTTGCTGTATTGTTTGTGATTACAAAAACAGTAACCAATTACACTAATATGCGGTACTGGTATGGAATTTTGAATTGAACACTCATCCAGGAAAATAAGTCAAGATAGCCCTTTAAGAAACTAACATAAGAATGAATACCTAATGTTTATCATAGGACCATCAAAATGAGGTCAATGTTAGGTGAACCCATGTACACCTTACAAAAAATATATACACCAAATATAGTTCACCTACAACTAAGCTACAAAACTTAAACTTAATGTTGATCACTGGTCAAGGTAATGTGATTCATACAAGAACACTAGACAAAATATAGTTGACCTTTTGACTCATAGTATGACATGTATGAAGGAACTGACTTTAGTTCAAAACTTAATGCTATACCATGAAAAGAGGTCAAAATCAAATGCCACTCTTGTCAGAAAGACCATACTATTGACCAAATATGGTTGACCTTGTACTGTAACCTTATTAACTGAGAAACTGAGCAATTGACCTTAACCTCACAACTGAATTGTAAAAAATAAATAGGGGTGGGTATTTTCAGTAAGATATGTACATCTTATTACCCTTCTATAGGCCAAAAGTAGTTTAGATTAGTTGACACACTATTCAGAGAAACCAACCTGAGTGAGGTGTGTCTCCAGTCAATTATGTAAACCTTACAACATTTTATAGACCAAATATAGTTGGCCTTCTTTTTGTAGCAACAGAAAAACCAACCTAAGTGTGATAACAAAGTTGATCACTGAATAATGAAAAGAGGTCAAGGTCAGATGACTCCTGTAAGACAGACGTGAAGTTTTGCATTCATTCTTCATGTAAGATTTAGTTGGCCCATTATCTTTATACATGGTTTTCCTTCTTTATTCTATGTTCTAAATTATGATGCTTTATAGTTTACACCAGCTGAAATCAGATAAGTATAAATATGTGTCTTGCAGTCTGCTACTTGGCCACAAACAAAACAAAAAATCAAACCTTTTCTAATATTCTATTTCTGGCCTTCTTAAGCTGAAATTCTATTGTCTGTAATATTTTAGTATTTGGTTTCAAGCCCTCCTCTTCCATTTCTTTCAATAAAATCTTTTTATAGTAAAAATTGTGATGACTTCTACGTACAAGTGCTCCATAAACTGTTATATTTGGAGTAATCCCAGCATCCTATTTGAAATAGTAATGAAAATAAAAATAATGAAGATTTAGAAATTACAATAATATAGATTGATATGATTTTTGTAAAACAAATTTGTTAAATATAAGGTAAAAACATGCAGATGAAATATTTAAAATCCTTGACTAGTAAGTTTACATATTTTTTTCAAAATCTTAACTATATAATATTTCAATTCTGAATTTTGTTTTCTTTACCCAGATCTGATTCTATTTCAAACGAGAATTTTTCCTGTTACTGATAAGTCATTTGTATTTTTCAATACAATAATCAGTCACTAGTTTGTTTTCTCTCTCAATATGTTGAATGGACTTAAGTAAATTCATCTCGCATTTCTCCATTACTACTGAAAAGAGTTATTTCATATTTGGTCGGTAGATGAGTTGTTAAGTGTGAGCACTTTTCAAATCTGTCAGGCACCTACTTCCTGAACTTCACGCTTTACAACTTATTGAAATCACTGTCTAGCTGATGACTAAATAGTTAGTAAGTAGTATATATACCATGGTTCTTACAAGTTAACATATTAAAACAAACAAATTCAAAGGATGAGTTTGTTTAAATATGTTAATGAGTAAAACATGTGGTATATATTTTATTTGTAATATAAATAAAACGATTGACAGCTTGAAGTAATATTAGACACTGATCACATTACCTATTTATCCAATGAGATGGTGGCTCCCGCAAGTCAGTATTGCAGTGGTGGTCTGGCACACATGAAGATTTGTAACAAGCAGATGCCGATTTAAAATTTTGAAAGAGGGTGGGGGAAACCAGGCAACGTTAGAAGTGGAAAATGTAAAAAGTCTATCCATTAACCATATATGTAGCTCCATAAAAGGGGGGTCTCAGGCCCCCTGCCCCTCCCTAAATCTGCCTATGACAAGGATATCAAACATTATTCTGACGGTAAGTTTTTGTTTTATTATCAATTTTTCAAGATATTGTCCAAACATTTTTATTTTACAAGTTGTTCATTTCATTTGAAACAAGAGGCTCTCAAGAGCCTGAATCGCTCACCTGTATTTCAGAGGAGAAGATTTTTAAATGTTAGCAAACTTGATGAACAAATTGTGTAAAATTGTCTTTAAAGGGCAGTAACTCCTTAAGGGGTCAATTGACAATTATGGTCATATTAACTTTTTTGTAGATCTTACTTTGCTGAACATAATTGCTGCTTACAGTTTATATATATCTATAATAATATTCAAAATAATAACAAAAAACTGCAAAATTTTGTTAAAACTACCAATTCGGTGGCAGCAACCCAACAATGGGTTGTTCGATTTGTCTGAAAATTTCAGAGCTGATAGATCTAGACCAATTGAACAATTTTATCCCATGTCAGATTTGCTCTTAAAGCTTTAGTTTTTGAGATATAAGCCAAAAACTGCATTTGACCCCTATGTTCTATTTTTAGCCATGGCGGCCATGTTTGTCGATGGATCAAAACTTCGGATATAATTTATAAACTAGATACCCTAAGGAACATTTAGTTAAAGTTTGAAGGTATTTGGCCCAGTAGTTTCAGAGGAGAAGATTTTTGAAATAGTTTACGACGACAGACGACGACGACAGACGACGGACGCCAAGTGATGGCATAAGCTCACATGGGGCCCTTTGGGCCCCGGTGAGCTAAAAAGTGAGTGCATTCGTACATTTACCTTTTAGCTTTTTCGTACAAATGGCTTAGTATTTTAATTTGATTTGTTAATTTTCATCCAGCAGGCCTTAAAAGTGAGCATACAAAAAATTAAAAAAAATAAAATAATACTTCATTTATGTATTATTAAAAAGAGACTATACAATATGCTTTCTCTTATTTTGTTGTAGGGTTGGTTAATGGTTCTCATTTAAAATCATATTTATACATATTCTTGAGAGGCGGCAAAACACAATTTTAAGGATTTTTACCAAAAACCAAAGACAACAAATATATAATGGATTTCTTCTCTCTCTCAGTTAATCTTTGTTCAGTTTTCTAAATATATTTCAGATAATGGAGTGAAGCTTCAGCCATGGAAAAACATCAAAATGAACATGTTTTACCATAGCTAAGCTCTGTCTATATTCCTCTTAGATTCTAGTTGGGTTTCATGTCTAGTTATCGAAGTATGGTACAACATCACATTGCAGATAAAAGACCATGGTTTTTCATCAACAACCTTTTTAAGCAAATCATTTCATTATAAACATTAAAAGAAAAATATTCAATTTATATTACAATTCTGTTCAGCAGTACTGGAAGAAGACGTGAATAAATACTTAAGTTGTAAAATTCAACATATTGAATAATTTAAAGTACAAAGTATGATAAACAGTAAAGAAAGTGTCTGATAGATTGGAAATGTACTCACATGTTACAACTAGTCAACATTAAATTGTTGACCAAATATGCAGTAATAATGTTCTGTTATACCTGGGAAAAGTTTGACAGAACTACTTTTGGAAAGGAGAAGAATGAACAGACAACAGGACAGTGAATGCAACTATAATGTTTCCATTTTATATTTGATTAAGATATAGCAAAATTTGGAACATGCTGTCCCTGACTCATTCATCTTTGGACGACAGCTACAAACTATGTCTGTTAACAGCCTGGATCTCCCATGAGGTATCAGTAACAATATATTTAAGTTTCTCCTTCATAACTACTCTCAACACTCAAATAAGTGTTTATCAAGGAAATCTCCCAACTCAAACTTAGAAGTTAACAAAAGGTCCTTATCACACACCCTTTTTTCTTTATAAAGATGCCAGATGCATATAGGTGTTAACAGTGCATATAATTCATAGATACTTTTACAAAATAAAAAAATTAGTAAAACAAACCCGTATATTCTGTAGTAGTTCTTTACCATCTTTCAAGGTCACACAGGTCATTGCCAGTACGCTGTATGTTCTCATGTTTGGTACAAGCTTATTAGAGGCTATCACCTTTAAGACTTCCTGGAATAATATAAATGTCAATATACATTGCTAAGGATTTATTATGATGTGGGATACTGTTGACTTTATAAGATATCTGTATATAAATAAATTTCCTCATAACAATATCACATAATTTTTAACCCACAAAATGAAATAATTCCACATTAAGTTTTAATGTAATCGAAATTAATTTCAATCCTGCACTTTTAAAAAGACCAGTAAACTTTACCTTAAAAAAATTTCCATCAGAAACCAATAATAAAGAATACAAAGTAAATAAAAAATTCTGAACTTATTCAAAGTACAGCTGTTATATCTCCAATTAAGGGTTGCTGTACAGTTAACCATCTGGGATGAAGATCTAGATAAATTACTGTAAATTCAGAAATTATTGCGATGTTTTTATTATTGCGAAAAATGCGACAGAGTTATAAGCGCAATAATTTAAACTCGTATTTTGAAATTTTTTATCTGAATTAAACAGGATTTTTCTCAATATTGCAAAAATTAAAATCGCATTTTAGTCTAAAATGACAAAATCGCAATAATAAATGCATGCAATAATTTCTGAATTTACAGTACTAAAAGCTAAGTTAAATTGGCAATGAAGCGTCAGATGGTTGTCCAAAATAGTCTTATTGTTTAGGTGGTACAGCGACTTATAGTTGCTAACATCGACATCATTTGGACTCTGGTATATAGTTGTCTCTGATATTGGAAACCTTACCACATCTTTTTTTTCTTTCAAATTCTCAATACATTGTAACTAATAACAAACTATTGCATCTATAAACACTTTTAAAAATACCTTTGCTGTTGAATAATCCATAGATTTACATCTTTTGTACATTAAATTTGTTAGGAGATCTATATCTAGTTTGACTCCTTTATTTTTCATAACATCAAGCATTGTCTGCTCTTCCTCTGGACTGATGAGTGATAACATTTGATCAAATGTTTCCACATTTGGTGTCACATTGTATTTTTCCATATCTGATAAATATCCCATCATCCCACCAACCATGGCAAACCTATCAGGCGGCGAATATAGATTATTTACTGAGATAATATGGGAAAAATCTTCATTAGGTTTCAAAACATTTGGTAATTTTACAGTTGGAACTTTTTTATTTGAAGTGGATTCTGCAACAATATCAGATGAATTTTGACTCTCTTGATCTCTCATTATAAGTGTATCTGGACTTTCATTTAGCTGTAAATTAAAGCTGCAGCTTTCTGATTTAGGAAAAGTGTTGTCTAGTTCACTTCCTTTCCTGTCTGCACTTTCTGTATATGGAAGGGACAAGATGTCTCTTTTGTGTAAATATTCTTCTGTTTTTCCTGACTTCTCTCCCTTTAATAGTTTTAATGTTGCAGCAGGATTTATCGGTGATAACAACAGCTTGGTCAGTTTAGGATCGCTGATCTCACAATCTTTTATCACACGTAACATTAAGTTGTATAACTTAAGATCAGGCTGCACACGTTTTATCAACATCCATCTCCAAATCTATAAGAAACATTTAAAAATAAAATTTTGAAACCTTTTCACACCATTAGATATTTCAACAATGTTTTGTTCTGAAATAGTACTATTAAAATGTAGAAATAACCCCCAAACTAACAGTCTGTTAGACTATATATATAACTACCACTTCATCATACTATTTCCAAATCATAACACAATTGGAACAAGAATGTGTCCATAGTACACGGATGCCCCACTCGCACTATCATTTTCTATGTTCAGTGGACAGTAAAATTGGGGTCAAAACTCTAATTTGGCATTAAAATTAGAAAGATCATATCATAGGGAACATGTGTACTAAGTTTCAAGTTGATTGGACTTCAACTTCATCAAAAACTACCTTAATGAAAAATTTTATCCTGAAGTGGGACAGACAGACGGACGGACGAATGGACGCACAGAACAAAAAAAAAAAGCCCCTAGGTGGGGCATAAAAATTTTATAATTGGAATCATATTTGGATATTGTAAACCAACTTATTTTTTTCTGATACTTTATTTTGGGTTCAGCCTGTGAGTCTCAATTTATATAAGAGTTCTTTTTTATACTAGTGAAACTTGCAAAAAATTGTTGATCTACAGTATAATCCATTATAATTATAATTTTTGACATCTTACCTGAACTGCGTACCAGAAGCCAGCTTTTTTATCAGCTATAGCTGCCATCAGTAAATGGCTGAAACCTTTTGGAGATATTTTCTCTATGCTTGTTAATTTATCTGCCAAGAGGAAAGCTGTCCTTGCATCACCACAGAAAGCAAAAGCTTTGATCATAGAGTGGTATGTGACTGTGTTAGGTGTGATGTCTTTAACAGCCATGTCTTGTAAGAGGGTGTTGGCTCTCTGTAAACCATCCTCAGGCCATGGAGAGTTAGCACAGGCATTAAATAGAGCAGAGTAGATGTAATCATTTGGTATAATCCCAAGCTTTTTCATCTGCAAAGTAAAAAAACAGTTCTTACACAGTGGCTGACCAAGAGTTATCCTAAGGAAATCATCGGTTTTATTTGATATAATGAACCAGAAGGGCCATTTTGAAATATTTGTTTTCAATTTATACTCATAGAGTGTAGCACCATGTGATTTCTAATGCTATATATACATGATGGCATGATACAACTATAAAAAGTTTGAGAGAGTACAGTTTAATATTGTTTCTTTTTTCCAGTTTTATTATGTTGTTTTTTTTACTAATTATATAACTTCAATGCAAAATACCTGGTTATAGACTTGAAAAGCTTTCTTTGTATACCCAGCTTTGGCAAGAACTGACAAAATCTGAGACATCACAAAGTTGTTTGGCATTACTCTATCATGTTTCAACATCCAAACATCAAGAACTCTTATAGCTTCTTTAACCTAAAAATAAAATTATTCTATCATATTTCTACATAACACTATCCATCCTGTCTTAGCATTTCATACTAGTTACTTGAAATTAAATATCATCTGCATTGAAATCACAAAATTAATCAGAATATTAAGTTTTGGCTGCCATCTTAGTTTTCAAACTAGCATGTACATTAAATCAGAGACTTATAATGTCATGAAATAGAAGTTTCTTCATAATATGAGTTCCAAGTGCAAGAAATATTCTGTAAAATTTATTCCACTAGAACAAATATTACAGATTTTTATAGAATATTTGTTTCAACAGAAATAGATATTATGGCATTATTTATAAAAAAAAGTTTCCAGGGGAAATTCTGTTAGACAGAGAAAAAAAAATATGTGTTGACAATAATACATGTATTTGATTAAATCAACAATGCATTTTCAAACCATTAATAAAGTTCTTCAGTACCAGTAAATACACGAAGTTGATTTTAAATGTACCTTTCCCTGCTTTCCATATTCCTCTATTTTCTTCCCATACCAATCTGGATCATTACGTCTACCTTTACTAGTTAATCTAATGTGAGGTTTCATGTCTTTCTCATCAAATGTTTCATCAAATCTGTTGTAAGATTAAAAAAAAAAATCCATTATTCATTAGCTTGAAATACAAAATATTTGGTATTAAGATAAACCCATGTGAATTTGTCCAGGTCAATTGCAAAAACAAAATAGATTTCAGTGGATTTAGTAACCTTAAAAGCAAAAACACATGTTTCTCCTTCAAGCCTTACTTGAGGTATATTTTACTTTATCTTACCTCCTATACATTTCTAGGATTATCATTGGTTAAAAGCAACCACATGGAGACCGTGTATATTTCATATGGGGTCAGTAGGCGTGTTTTATTTTAATACACGGTTAGTAGTGGTGTTATGTCCCTTTATAAAAGCAACATGACACTGAGGAAAAATTTGAAACGTTTTGCCTGGACAACAGACGAAGATATTGATGATGAACGATTGAAATAAATGCAGAAAACACACTAAAAGCTAACAATTTGTTATTGTTGGCATAAGTTTTTGTATAGACCAATGGAAGTACGTTTTTTATATTGAAGACTTGATCACATTGATAGTCCACTAGTCTAAATGCCACATGTTAAGATAGTCGGTAAGATAAATTTGTTACAGTGTGCTAGTGACCTAATACAATAAATATGGGGTCGTCAGTAAATTTCATATGGGGCTCGAGCTTCCCTCTCACCCAAAATGGAATTTACTGACCCCATATATATGGTATTAGGTCACTAGCATACTATGTAATTAATAGTATGGGTAAAATAAGAACAGCAAGACACTCAAATGCAGAATATCATGTAAAAAATAACAAAGACATGGTGTAGACTTGCAAATTACATTACATGTAGCAATTTCATCTTGTGTTTAGGGTTAAATGTCATACGTTTGTATGTCAGTCATGACAGCATACAACACACTGAATAAGGGTGATACACCTACAAAGTTTATGACAAAAGTTGACAAAGTTCTGACATCAAACAATAAAACAGTTCTGGGCTGGACTCTTTTTCCCTCAATTACTGCTAGCATTCATTTATATTGACATCTGATGCAGTATCGGATGTCAATATCAAAGAATGCTAGGCAAAAGAGTTAATATTGTAATAATATTTTTCATTATTGTTGCACTTGTACTTGTTTTTTTAAAACTATTATACTAGCAGTGATCATAGAGTTACATGACTTTTCTGAACTTTTTTTTATTGTACATTCTTCTATGTCCTTTAATCATTTCACTGATTAAGATTAAATACGGGAAGAGCGAGTTCTCTAAATAAACTGTTGACACAGAGATGTCTTGCCTATCGGCATAAAATTCAGAAAAAGACAATCTGATGGACAGCAACATGATTTATTAATCCAGTCGCTGGACCATTATTTAGTAGGCAGGGCCTGAAAATAATCGTCAAACTGATATGTACTGATAGTAATGCAATTTTATACAAAATATCATTGATTTTGATTTTTGTGTTTTTAATGCTACTTTTAAGCACCGCTTTTGGGCCATTTCGTTGCGGCCAGTTTTTATTGGTGGAGGAAGCCGGAGTGTCCGGAGAAAACCACAGACCTTCGATAGGAAAACTGACAATCCTAGTCAATACAGATTGGAGTCGAGTGCACCCGCACTAGCGGGGTTCGAACTCACAACCTCAGTGTTGACTGGCTAGTGATTACAGAAGTAACTACTTAGACCACTCGGCCACCAAGGCCCCTAAAATATCATTGATCTATCACAAGTAAAGCTTATCAAATTGACTTAAGCAGAAAACTTAACATTGAAAATTGCTAATTAATTCAAAGTCAATGGACCATGTCCAAGGGGGCAGGGCCTCAAAATAGTCCTAAAACTGATATGTACTGATAGTAATGCGACTTCATACAAAATATCATTGATCTATCACCAGTAGATCCCATCAAACTAACTTAAGCAGAAAACTTAACATTGAAAATTGGTAATTAATTCAAAGTCACTGGACCAAGTCGTAGGGGGCAGGGCCTCAAAATAGTCGTCAAACTGATATGTACTGATTGTAATGCAACTTCATATTAAATATCAATGATCTATCACAAGTAGTTCCTATCAAACTAACTTAAGCAGAAAACTTAACAATTGTTGACGTCAGAGCCATCACCATCGTAGCCGCTGGAAAAGCAATCCCTATGTCTCGCTTTCCGCGACTTTCATCGCAAGCAAGACAAAAACTAGTCCTTACACATGACCAAGTATCTATGCTTGCTCTGACATGTACATGTACTACATGTATGTAGCTATAGCATGAAACTAAGGTAGGGAAATACTTTAAATTGAATGGAACTTCATTTAATCTTACTTTTCTTGTTTACTATCATCAACTTCATTACTTAAGGTACCAAATGTATTTCTCCATTTTCTATCATTTTTGCTGAAATTCAATCTGTTGTCAACTTCAGAATCGGAAGGGTATTTCTGTATCCTTTGTCTCTGTTTGGTAATTTTATCAAATTGCCTATCACTTGTATCAATATGCCATCTTTCCTTTTGAATACTAATTTTATTTGGATCTCTTTCAACATTTAAATTATCATTTTCATAACTCTCTATTTTTTCTTCTGTCAAGTTTCCAAACTGGTCTTCAATAGGCAAGTTCTTTACTGATTCCACCATTTGCTTATCATCTTCAATGCAACCCTCTGACAAGATCCTATTATGTAATTTGTATTTTTCTTTTCCCTTATGACTGAAGCTGTTGGTTCCTCTCGGCTTTTGTTTGACCTGATATCTTCCAAACTTGTTTTCATCTTTAAAATATGCTGCAGACTGTGAAAGTCTTTGGTTACATTCGTCAGTTTCCTTCTTTGATGAGACTTTATTTTTATGTATATGAATACTTCTCTGGTTCCCAAATGTAAAACATACAAATCTAAAATCAGGTTTGATAACACAATGAAAATTTCTTCTGAAATATGACAGCTGCCTGTAAGTTAGTCTTTTTGTGAACATACATGTTTGTATAAATGTTGTTTGTAGATATGACATGATCGTATTTCTAAAAATAAAAAAAAATAAATATCAACATTAGGTTACAGTATAGACAAACTTGCATAAATGCATGAATGCATTTAATTTCATTTTGAAAATCAATCTGGAAAAAACCCATTTATTATTTTAAGTCGAAAAAAGAGTAAGATGATAGATGGACCAAGGGGGACAATCAAAATCACTACTTGAAGAAGAAAAGCCAACACTACTGAAATCGAGAAAAAAGACCAAAGAAAAATGTATTCTTTAAACAAGCAGAGCATTTCCAAGAAACTATTTATTTGATTTTAGGCATTTGACCTTAATATCAAATTCTGTATATCCTGTCTAAGAGAGAACTTAATTGTAACAGTGTAAAGTTTTTAAAATGCTACTTGGTAACACACCAAATGGAAATTAAGAGAATATAAGATTTATTATTTCAATTAAGGAGGGTTAGCCATGCATGCATTTGGCTAAGGATGGTTAGTTAGTTCATACTGAAATATTATGAACAAAATGAGAACCTTAGCATGGCTTACCCTCTATAGTGAGGTTAGTTTCATCATACATTTCTTATCAATTATCCAGAACTCAAAATTATTCCAGATTCAAATAATTTCTTGTTTTAAGATAACAGTTTTACTACAAGTATCATATCAACTTAACAAATTCTCAAATGAAAATGAGGTCAAGGTCTAATGAACTCTATTGCTTATGGTATCTGAAAAACAGACCTAACCAATAAAACTTAACATTGAAAATTGAACCTAGAAAATAAGGTCAAGGTCAGATGAATCCTGCCAGACTGACTGTGTACACCTTATTCCATACACCAAAACTAATTTACATATTGTTTTACATGTATATAGTATTTAAGAAAAGGATCTAACCTGTAAACTTAACATTGACCAATGAACCATGAAAATGAGATCAAGGTAAGATGAACCAGACGGACGTGCAAAATTTACAATCATTTCATACAACAAATATATTGAACCAATTTTCAAAATCTGTAAGTATCTGAGAAATAGACCTAACCAAAAAAACTTCACTGACAAATGAACCATGAAAATGAGGTCAAGGACAAATGAACCATGAAAATGAAGTGGAGGACAAAAAATCCTGCCGGATGGACATGATGAAGATGAAATCTTTACAATCATTCAATACACCAAATATAGTTTACTTATTGGTCATAATATCTGAGAAACACTTCTTATCACAAAAAAGTGGACAAATGAATTATGAAAATGAGGTCAAGGTCAGATGAACCCTGCCAGATGGACATGTACATGCACCAAATATAGTTAACCTATCGCTTATTGTATCTGAGAAACATGAAAAAGTCGTACTTCAAGGGCAATAACTCCAATAAGGAATTGAGTGAGGATTTTAGATATAATATGCTAACATATTTGTTGATCTTGTCCTACTGACCATTTATGCTTTTTCAGTTTTCTCAATCTACAACTGTTTATGCATAAACACAAAAATTGTCTTTCAAGTAAAATAACTCCTATAAGTAGTTCACTAAGGATTTAGACTATTCTAACTTATTTGAGATCTTGTTATTCGGGTCATTTATGTTTTAAGTTTCTCTCCATCTATTCTAGTTTTCAAGTTTTAAAAAAGAAATTATGAAGATTGTCGTTAAAGGAAAAAGCACTTTTAAGGAGCTGTCTGACAATGTTGATCAATACAGAGAGTAGATCTAACAGTTTTCATGATAATAGACATTACTCCTGTTAATGGCAATTTACCCCTATGTTCTATTTTTAGCCTTGGCAGTTGGCAGCCATTCTAAAAGACAGCTTTGATCATCAGACAATTTTTTTAAACCTGATACCTAAAGCATAATTGTTGCTAAAATAGGTTCCAACTGGCATTAGAATATAGCAAAGTGCTCTCGACCAATGAAATTGTAGGATTTGGTGTTACTTAATTGTGAAGAATGAGTGAAATCATGTTCTTAGAAAGGGATTGTCCAATTGTTTAGGCCTACTTACAGTTCAAAACAAAGAGTTTCTATAAATGAGTTACAACTACCCTGAAGCACATTCATCAGCTTAAAGACTGAAACACTGATTCTATTCATTAGATAATTCACAACATTTCTTTAAATCCTTTAATATCATTAAAGTTTTGGAAATACAGTCCTGTTTTATTCATTTGTATTGTGCACAATTTTCATACCAGAAAACTAAAATTACAATATTAATTATTAAAACAAAAGAATGTTGAATGAGAGGAAAATGTTTTTTCTAAAATTTATAACAAGTTACAATGTACATGTACCTGCTGTACCTCTAGTTTTGGGGAAGTCAGATATTGGTGGTGACTGTAGTTTGTAGTACTGTCAGATATTGGTGGTGAGTGTGGTCTGTAGTACTGTCAGATATTGGTGGTGAGTGTGGGTCTGTAGTACTGTCAGATATTGGTGGTGACTGTAGTTTGTAGTACTGTCAGATATTGGTGGTGAGTGTGGTCTGTAGTACTGTCAGATATTGGTGGTGAGTGTGGTCTGTAGTACTGTCAGATATTGGTGGTGAGTGTGGTCTGTAGTCCTGTCAGGTATTGGTGGTGAGTGTGGTCTGTAGTACTGTCAGATATTGGTGGTGAGTGTGGTCTGTAGTCCTGTCAGATATTGGTGGTCAGTGTCAGTCTGTAGTACTGTCAGATATTGGAGGTGAGTGTGGTCTGTAGTACTGTCAGATATTGATGGTGAGTGTGGTCTGTAGTACTGTCAGATATTTGTGGTGAGTGTGGTCTGTAGTACTGTCAGATATTAGTGGTCAGTGTGGTCTGTAGTACTGTCAGATATTGGTGGTGAGTGTGGTCTGTAGTACTGTCAGATATTGGTGGTGAGTGTGGTCTGTAGTATTGTCAGATATTGGTGGTCAGTGTGGTATGTAGTACTGTCAGATATTGGTGGTCAGCTAGGTCTGTAGTACTGTCAGATATTGGTGGTGAGTGTGGTCTTTAGTACTGTCAGATATTGGTGGTGAGTGTGGTCTGTAGTACTGTAAGATATTGGTGGTGAGTGTGGTCTGTAGTCCTGTCAGATATTGGTGGTCATTTAGGTCTGTAGTACTGTAAGATATTGGTGGTGAGTGTGGTCTGTAGTACTGTCAGATATTGGTGATATGTGTGGTCTGTAGTACTGTCAGATATTGGTGGTGAGTGGGGAGTGTGGTTTGTAGTACTGTCAGATATTGGTGGTGAGTGTGTGTCTGTTGTACTGTCAGATATTGGTGGTGAGTGTGGGTCTGTAGTACTGTCAGATATTGGTGGTCAGTGTGGTCTGTAGTACTGTCAGATATTGGTGGTGAGTGTGGTCTGTAGTACTGTCAGATATTGGTGATATGTGTGGTCTGTAGTCCTGTCAGATATTGGTGGTTAGTGTGGTCTGTAGTACTGTCAGATATTGGTGGTTAGTGTAGTCTGTAGTACTGTCAGATATTGGTGGTGAGTGTGGTCTGTAGTACTGTCAAATATTGGTGGTCAGTGTAGTCTGTAGTACTGTCAGATATTGGTGGTCAGTGTGGTCTGTAGTACAGTCAGATATTGGTGGTGAGTGTGGTCTGTAGTACTGTCAGATATTGGTGGTGAGTGTGGTCTGTAGTACTGTCAGATATTGGTGGTCAGTGTGGTCTGTAGTACTGTCAGATATTGGTGGTGAGTGTGGTCTGTATTACTTTAAGATATTTGTGGTCAGTGTGGTCTGTAGTACTGTCAGATATTGGTGATATGTGTGGTCTGTAGTCCTGTCAGATATTGGTGGTCAGTGTGGTCTGTAGTCCTGTCAGATATTGATGATGAGTGTGGTCTGTAGTACTGTCAGATATTGGTGGTGAGTGTGGTCTGTAGTACTGTCAGATATTGGTGGTCAGTGTGGTCTGTAGTCCTGTCAGATATTGGTGGTGAGTGGGGAGTGTGGTTTGTAGTACTGTCAGATATTGATGGTCAGTGTGGGTCTGTAGTACTGTCAGATATTGGTGGTCAGTGTGGTCTGTAGTACTGTCAGATATTGGTGGTGAGTGTGGTCTGTAGTACTGTCAGATATTGGTGGTCAGTGTGGGTCTGTAGTACTGTCAAATATTGGTGGTTAGTGTGGGTCTGTAGTACTGTCAGATATTGGTGGTGAGTGTGGTCTGTAGTCCTGTCAGATATTGGTGGTGAGTGTGGTCTGTAGTACTGTCAGATATTGATGGTGAGTGTGGTCTGTAGTACTGTCAGATATTGGTGGTGAGTGTGGTCTGTAGTACTGTCAGATATTGGTGATGAGTGTGGTCTGTAGTACTGTCAGATATTGGTGGTCAGTGTGGGTCTGTAGTCCTGTCAGACATTGGTGGTCAGTGTGGTCTGTAGTACTGTCAGATATTGGTGATATGTGTGGTCTGTAGTACTGTCAGATATTGGTGGTGAGTGGGGAGTGTGGTTTGTAGTACTGTCAGATATTGGTGGTGAGTGTGGGTCTGTAGTACTGTCAGATATTGGTGGTGAGTGTGGGTCTGTAGTACTGTCAGATATTGGTGGTCAGTGTGGTCTGTAGTACTGTCAGATATTGGTGGTGAGTGTGGTCTGTAGTACTGTCAGATATTGGTGGTGAGTGTGGTCTGTAGTACTGTCAGATATTGGTGGTGAGTGTGGTCTGTAGTCCTGTCAGGTATTGGTGGTGAGTGTGGTCTGTAGTACTGTCAGATATTGGTGGTGAGTGTGGTCTGTAGTCCTGTCAGATATTGGTGGTCAGTGTCAGTCTGTAGTACTGTCAGATATTGGAGGTGAGTGTGGTCTGTAGTACTGTCAGATATTGATGGTGAGTGTGGTCTGTAGTACTGTCAGATATTTGTGGTGAGTGTGGTCTGTAGTACTGTCAGATATTGGTGGTCAGGTAGGTCTGTAGTACTGTCAGATATTGGTGGTCAGTGTGGTCTGTAGTACTGTCAGATATTGGTGGTGAGTGTGGTCTGTATTACTTTAAGATATTTGTGGTGAGTGTGGTCTGTAGTACTGTCAGATATTGGT